AAGGGGGCCCTTCAGTTGAGCAAGCCGTTTAAAGAAAGCAGCTGGTGCATGGGTGGTGAAAGGTCAGGAAGAGCTTGGAGAGATGCCAGTTTCTCTAGTGCATTCGTACCCTCTCTTTCTCTCTTGTAGACTGTGTAACTGAACTGCCCTGAACTCTTATCATCTGATGTAACTGGGTGAAAATAAAACACCATTGGGTGAAAATAAAACACCATTGCTGAAAGCCGACAACTTTGAAAAGAAACATACCATAATTGCATTTGTAAGGTATTTATTTTTTAACATTTATTGCAGAAATGGTGGCTTCTTCACCACAATTTTTACATTGCATTGTGAATATTTGACAAAAAGCACAACTTCATAAGAAAATCCATCTTTTTTCCCCCCAGGATTTTACAAAAGACAAGTTACACTAGTGTCCATGTAATATTTTTCAAACAACACCCCAAGTGCCCATTAGACCTTAAAACATCTTTAAAATGTCACTTAAACACAGTTCCTCTTTAAAATCCACATCTCATTCCTCAAGAACACCAATTCCAATGCTCTTCTTCGCCGTCAATCTCATAAACGTGCTCTCACAGTCCACGTGTCTTTTTCTCTCCTATTGCCTCCACCACAATAGACTTGAGTGGCACAGGAGACTTGACTTGTCCAAGCTCGTCCAAAAAAAGATTCTGAACATCAGCTTTTCCAGGACGGCCAACTGTACGCTGGGTCAGTCCACTTTTTTCTTCCCAGTTGTGAGGGTAATCCAGACAATATCTCAAAGCTTTCTTGCTTTGCACCGGTGTACCCTTTAGGATGGACGTCTTCGACTTGTTTCCGGTTTCATTCACGTGTCAAAGCCATCTCCTATCAGCGCTCTGGCAGAGTAATAGTAGGCACCCATTCGTAGACATTGCGGCTCTCCTCACAGAACAAGCCCAATCTCTCAAGAGCAGAATCTTTCCATGAGTCAGCACTGGGGCTCTTTGAAAAAAAAGAAAAAGTGGTATTAGTATGACATGCAGATGTAGTGCAAATGTAGGCGTTGACAAAGTGTAGGTGTAGATGCAGTAAAGAGAAGTTGAGCAACTCACCGTTACAAGCATGCAGTGTACGTCCTTAGGTTCCTCATTCTGATCGCTGCCCACAATGTCAGCAAGACGTTCAATGTCATTCACACGAACAATGTTGATGTCGTTGTCGAAGCAGAAGGCTTGGATGAGAGTGAAGTGGATCTGCAAGGCGATGTCACATTCATACTCCTCATCCGTAGCCAGGACGCAAAAAGCCACGCAGTCTGGGTCACTGAGGTTGCATAAAGGAGATAAATTGATTAGGGAACGATTCAACGTGTTTGCATATATGCATAAGGATGCATCCAATTATTCATTATTAGGAAGACTAGGAAATGAAAAAACATTTTCATATGCCACCCTCTAATGCATACTTATAGCAACACTTTTAGTAATAAATAAACAGATACTTACACATTCATGACTTGTGCAGACTCATACACCCCAACGGTAAGGCAGTCCTGCTTCTTAGCGGAGACCAGAAGCTCCTCTAGTGCCGTTCCTGCACTCTGCATTCTGGAGAACATAACCGGCGCGTTAGTCCATATTCTTTACGTAGTGCTCACTTGATAAACGAAAACAACATCAACTGAATAAGAAACTCACCTATCGCCAGTAGCAGCTGCGTTATCTTGTCCACTAAATTCTTCAAAAGTCATTGTTTAAATCCACGTTAGGTCGCGTTTCGCGTGCGTTTTCTCTGCGTTGAGCGGTGGGTTTGTGATGCCGTGTCAAGCGCTCGCCGTCTTTTATACGAGATGAGCTGAGTTTCTCGGCAGTGGGCGGGCATTCCGCTCATGCCCGGTTCTGATTGGCTGGCGGCACGGGTGTATGCAAATTACTCTGATGCAAGCGTCTTGACTGTAAACAGCCCACGTGGGTGTTCAAATATCACTCCATCAACAGCACAAAGCACGGCTCGTGCTCTTGAGTACAAACTGCGTGAAGTTGTTGAGTTCATTTTATTACACAATCCATCATCAAGAAGACGGAATTAATGTGGTTAACTCGCATCCCTTACTTTTTAATTTACTGATTTAATTATATGTTCATTAATCTAATTAACCCTTACAGAAAAATAATTGCAGTCTAATTAAGATTATAATTAGTATATTTATTTGGGACATTTTCATCATGGGGCTGGTCCTCACAATGTAGGTGACTTCAGTGTTTTGTGGTTGTTGCTCCAGTTCAAACCAGCTATGTTCCATCCATGAATCCAGCAGGGTTACTGTCCTTGGGACATTTGGTCCTCACAATGTTAGCAAAACATGACCCCCACCACCCCCACAGACACAAAGACTGGTAAGTGAGGCACACGCCACTCTTTTGCATTTGTAAAGGAGTCATCCTTATTTACGTGTCTTTGTCATGTGCCTATTAATGACTGTTTGGCCGGCCCTAAAGCAGGAATAATAGCCTCATGTTCCACCTGCCCCTGGCTTTGTTGCAGCCTGCAGAAAGTGTGTCCCAGTGAGACCAAGAGCCAAAACTTTTGTTCCAACTTCTTAGAAGTCAGTCAGTTGAATGCATACATACAAATAGCAGATAACTAAAACTTCACTCCAGGCCTGTTTAGCTCCTTATGCCACATCTAAAACGGTGAGCGATGTTATTCCCGTAAATAGAGATTAATCAATTATTCAGGAACATCTCGAAACAGCATCACTGCACATATCGGACTACAACATCAAGTCTTGTTCAAACTGGTCTAGGCTATTGGAAGCTTTTTGCAATTCTGTATGGAGTAACCTGCTGAGCAGCCTGGTTAGTTGGTCTTAACTGGTCTGGTTGTAGAGGGGTATAGGCACTTTTGGGGTAGTTAGGATGGTAGACAAAGTCAAGTCTTGTTCAAATTGGTCTAGACTGGAAGTTCTGTAATTCTGTAAGCAGTAGCCTGCTGACCAGTCTATTTAGTCGGTCTTAACTGGTCTACCAGTCTGGTTTTAGAGGAGTTGTAAGCGCTTTGAGAATTATAGCTGAAGACCATTTTAATTGTAAGGGAACCTGGCTTAAACTGAATTTTACTGCAGGGTAGAGTAGATATGACTTGATCTATGTTTATGTTTACCCGCAACTTTTAAATACGTTTCTCCTAATATGCCAAACGATGCAATAACTATGCGTCAATATTTTTAAAAACAGATTTGGGGTTTATGATTGATATTACTCGCAGATCTAGAACTATAGAAAGTGTAGGCTGTGTTAGGCGCCATCTAGCGGCTGTGCACATAGCGCGACCTTTCACGCAGAGTATTGTAAATGTGGCTGAGTGAGTCACACCATACAGATACAAAAGATGCACTTGCTCATCAGCTCAAATAGCAGGGATGATTATTTGCTCATGTTGAAACAATCCACAAATGTATGCATCTGAAACTAAACCCGTAGGGCATTGATACACGATACCACAGTAAAACATAGGACAACTGATAAAGGTTTATGATTGATATTACTCGCAGATCTAGAACTATAGAAAGTGTAGGCTGTGTTAGGCGCCATCTAGCGGCTGTGCACATAGCGCGACCTTTCACGTAGAGTATTGTAAATGTGGCTGAGTGAGTCACACCATACAGATACAAAAGATGCACTTGCTCATCAGCTCAAATAGCAGGGATGATTATTTGCTCAGGTTGAAACAATCCACAAATGTATGCATCTGAAACTAAACCCGTAGGGCATTGATACACGATACCACAGTAAAACATAGGACAACTGATGACCGAAAGTGGCATTATATCAATAGATTATTGTTCTCTAAAGGCACCTGTGTAGAACCAGCGATGGCACAGTGATTCGAGATGCTGTGGCGCCATCTGCAGGTACAACGAGGAAATAAGAAAAACGATTTATCAGCGTTCCACTGATATTTAAATTCCCCTTAAAATTTACTCTGTCTTGGCCATATATATTTAACTTTTAACATTGTAAGCAATTATATTTTGTACTTTTATATCCTTAATGAGCTTTTTGATTTGAGGTTATGACCTTTTTTCGTGTGTGTTGTGTCAAATAGATTGGTGCAGATTTACATCTGTTTTAGCTAGTGCATTTGCATTGAAGTCAGACAGGATAATTGTGGTTTTTATGTTACTTTGTGTTGATTTGCATTTCTTTCTATCAGCATAAAAAGGACATGTCTGGGTGTGATAACGTCCTCGGACATGTATGTACAGAAGATTGACCTAGTTTCAATGTAAGACTTTTATAGATCACTTTCTAAGGATCCCAATGGTCAAATGAGTGCCATTATAGTGTAATTATGATTATTTTATTGTTCATTGACATTTTTTTTGTATCAATTTTCATTGTGAGGAATGACAAAAATGCATTTTTTATAATAAAATGATCATTTTTTAATTAATAATAACATGATCACGACAGAAATAAACAGTTTATGAACATTCCAAGTTTACAGATACATCAGTGCATCATATGACCAAAGATGAAATGAAATCAATAAAAAAAGACTGCAATAAAAGAAGTCTTTTAAAAGACAAAATATCACCATAAAAAAATAACATAAAAATGCTTCTCTGACACAGCAGATCATGACATTTTTTCATATGTACATACATATATAGACATAAACAATGTATTATTATTGTGTGGATATGTGCAATACTATACTACCTCTAAAAGGTACATTTAAAGCTAAATTTACAGCGGTTTAACGGAAGGGGTTCTAAGCCACAAATAATGCGCAAGCAGAAAAAATAGATTTTTCCCTTTTCTAAATACACTCCTATATCACTAGGACTGATCATTTTTCAGTAGTGGAATCTCTATAAGCATGTGGCTCCCTTACTAAAAAGGGGAAAATAAAATGTTACTAGATGCCCAAAAGTCCTAAAATGTCTCAAGTAATACAGACAAATAAATACATTTCCTGAAAATACTAAAACTCAATGTGGACGCAATGCAGAGTTCAAAAAACAACACGACTCCTTCACGTTTCCATTGAAAAAGAATCATAATTTGTGCGCAGATGAATAGAACAATAATGTCCTAAGAAATGGCTGGGTATAAAAAAGTGGTATTATAGCATGACAGTAGATTCATGTAAAAAATAAAAAAATTAAGGAAAAAGGGGTCAGGCTGGGATGCTACAATGAAGAGAAAATGGCTATACTGAATCTTTCATCTAAAACAAAGCAAGTTTTGTTTTAGATGCTCTCCTACATTTCATCAGATCGGTGCTGTTGTATTATAACTGAAGTGGGTTTCTGCTCCATCCAGCTCTCCTTGGTTTTGCTCTGGCCGTCGTACATCACCGGAGACGCTGCTGAGTTCCTGTGGGACTCTGAGAGAGATGCGTCCGCTTTGAGATCTGACTGGGCAGGACTGGGGAAGTCAGCGGAGGAGTTGCTGTTGACCCCAGACTCAGAGTCAGACTGCTCGACCCGCTGGTAGTCAGGTGTGTGGTTCTGAGCACCGGACAGCAGCACCTGGTTATTCTCTACAGTGGCCATGAGGAGGACATCCTGCTCTGGCACTTCTTTAGCAGACGTGGATATAATGTCGTCTTTCAGTATAGCTGGATAAGACCGCAGGGCTCGAGACATTCCTGGAAGGCAGAAGAAAAAACATGTTTTTTAATTATGCATAAAGCACCAGTGCTTAGGTAGAAAACTGATGGGTAAAAAAACTCTTAACACAATTGTTTTGATCCTTTTTGTAAATACAATAATTTAAGTAGCTTATTTTACTTTTCGATTTTTTTAAACTTTACTTTGCTCCAGGCATATTGTAGTTAACCAAAACTAAAAGTAAAAACATTAAAAATTGTTACTTGAAATAAAATAACCGTTAACTGAAATAAAATATATATAAAAAAATTTAAGCTTATTTTATTTCAGCTAGTTTTCAAGGCAACATTTCTCATTTTGGTTTAGTTTAACTTAAAGTAATAAAATAACTAAAACTAATAAATAAAAATTATAAAGACATATTTAAAAACATACTAATAAAAATGACAAAAACACACAACCAAATTGCTAAAGCGCTGACTAAACTTAACATACAAACAAAATGTAAAAATAAAAATCTATTTTAAAATATTAACAAGATACATAATAGTATATCAATGGCACTAAAATGCTACTGTTGCTCCTAGATATATAAAAAACCGTGAAGTTGTATCTTTTTACTATACTATTTACTATATACTATTTTATATACTATTGTACTATTTATATATAACTTTAAACAGTGTTTATTTGAGAAATATTTAGAGCACACATGCTACTAATTTGAATGCAACTTAAAGGGGTCATATGATGTTGCTAAAAAGAACATTATTTTGTGTATTTAGTGTAATGAAATGTGTTTATGCTGTTTAAAGTTAAAAAAACACATTATTTTCCACATACTGTACATTATTGTTTCTCCTCTATGCCCCGCCTTTTTGAAACGTGTCGATTTTTACAAAGCTCATCGCTCTGAAAAAGCGAGGTGTGCTGTGATTGGCCAGCTATCCAATGCATTGTGATTGGCCGAATACTTCAAGCATGTGACGGAAATGTTATGCCCTCTTACCATACTGTGATGCCTTGTCGAGCCGGAGTGACGAGACAAAAACATTAAAACCCATTATAAACGCTGCATTTGTTGCATCCAGTGGGGACATAATTACTGATTATAATGACAGGCTCGAAGACTGGACTGGGGACGGTGTCTGTCTCGCTGCTATCGTGTGGAGGGGGGGTGTCCTCAGAGATGCCGCTGTCGCTGCCGTGAGGAGACTGAGACAAGCAGTTGATAGTCAGGCCGTCCTCTTCCTCTCCCAGAAGACTGCTGAGAAAGTCCTCTGTATCCATTCCACTCAGCATCTGCAACAACAAAGTCTGTCTGTCTATTTAATCTACATAATGTACAATAATGATTTCTATTTAGTTAATAATATACAAAATACATTTATATAATTGTTAACAATAAATGTATTTAATCTGCAACAATAAAGTCTGTCTGTCTATCATGCACAATAATAATTGGTGTCCTCAGAGATGCCGCTGTCGCTGCCGTGAGGAGACTGAGACAAGCAGTTGATAGTCAGGCCATCCTCTTCCTCACCCAGAAGACTGCTGAGAAAGTCCTCTGTATCCATTCCACTCAGCATCTGCAACAATAAAGTCTGTCTGTCTATTTAATCTACATAATGCACAATAATGATTTCTATTTAGTTAATAATATACAAAATACATTTATATAATTGTTAACAATAAATGTATTTAATCTGCAACAATAAAGTCTGTCTGTCTATCATGCACAATAACAACAATAATAATAATAATATATAAAACAAATGCATATAATTGTTATTATATTATTATATAAATTTACATTACTACCTACATTACATTAGCTATCTATCATACACATTAATAATTATTATAAATACTTACATTACCACATAATTATTATTATATAAAAAAAATGTTTAAAATTGTTAACAAATATCTATCTATCTATATATCATGCACAACAATAATAATAATAATTATTATTATATAAAACTACATTATTATAATTATTATATAAAATAAATGTTTAAAATTGTTAAATGTATATAATCTGCAATAATCAAATTATTAGTTATTCTATCTGTCATCTATTTTTTTAAATCTTACATATTATATAAAATATAGAATACATTAATATTCCATAAATACACAAGACAAAAGCATTTGTATCTAATCACTATATTGCATAATACTATAAAAGGTGCCGTTGTATTTCATTTTTATAGATTTTCTTATCATATTCATATCAGACTATATTATGGCTTCTACGTGACAAAAAAACAAACATGAAATTAGATTTTTAGATTTAGATCACTGGACGTGAAGGTTACATACATCTTGCTCTGAAAGCAAATCCTCCAGCAAGTTACTCCCCTCTGTGAGGAACAGATCGCCGGATCCTGGGTCTTCATCTGGGAAGATTAGACCAAGCAGGTCTGTATTCTCCATATCCTCGCTTACTGACATCTGACACTGATTTAGAGAAGTAGAAATCAAATAAGACGATATGAAACGGGGCAGATCCGCAGTGACACTGCGCACTGACAGCTCGATCAAGTTCAGACCCCGCCCACTCATCACGTGACTGCCTTTCCGTTTTAAACACAACACACACGACAACTTCACGGCATTAACTGTCCAGCGTAGAAGTCAGAACAGCAAACATAAAATGGTTAAACTGTGCGTGACAAATAGTTTAAAACTCATTAAACCCTGCAGCAAATACTACTGTAACACGATGACAGGCAGCTCTTTAAAGCTCAGTGCAGATAATAATGTTACCAGTGCAAAGATGATACAGGACAAATTTGAATCGGATTTAGTTATGTGATCCGATTGGCTACGTACTCAACACAGAATTTACAGATTTATTGATAACAATAATAACGCCGATAACAACGCTATTAATAAATAACGTTACAGAACAAAATCTAATACTACAGAACAACTGAATTATGATAAATGGAATATTTTATAGGAAGTAAATAAAGTATTTGGTAAAGCATGTGCCAGGTCTGACATTTGACAGCTCTACAATAACTGTATTGTGAAGAATTGTGAATTTTTCGGAGGAAAGCAAAGTCGACCTCACAGATGCATGTAAAATGCTTTAAATAAACCCTTACCTCTGATGATCTTGAACCGAAATAAGATACGTAGACATGTACAACACATAGGAAGTGCCTTCTCTCTTTGTCCTGTTCCTTGATGAAATCACCCTCCAAGCTCCAACGAGGCAAAAATTGCGTCATCACGTACGGGTGCGTCAGTACGTGCACGTCTTCTACGAAAGGCTTCCTGGGAGTTGTAGTGTAAAATTTCACGCCTCGAATTCGCCATTTATGAGGAAGACTGTGAAAATGTTATTGCAAGTTTAAATCGAAAAATCCTAGAAAATTTACGCTACTTAATTACGATAAATTATAATGTATATATATATATATATATATATATATATATTAGAGGCATATTGTAAAGGGAATGTTTGAAACAATGCAGTTCAAAGCACTTTATTACATTTATTGAATACATTTATGACATGACATCCATGACATTACAAATGCCTTGCGCTCACTCACTTGCAAACTTTCATACTTTCCATTCATTCATATAGACTACTTTATTAGAGGCATTCACTGATCTCATTTTCAATTGAAAAAAGATAACAAAAGAGGTATATCAAATATAACTAGCTGAACTATAGCTCCTGTGAGCTGTCCATTAGTATTTATACGTTTTCTGAGCATCACAGAATGATGCAGAGTTTAGACGTATGCCTAAGGCTCCTGTATGTCTTCAGACGGTCCTTTTTAGCATCAGTTCCATTCACTACGTGAGTAACTACTGGCATGCTCTCCACCGCTTGTCGTTTATGTGTGCGGTGTAAGAGGATTCGATAGACTCCAGTGATGGAGCTCCTGCAGTCTTTGTCTTGGTTGTTGCGAATGTGGTCAGCGGTGATGCCAAGAGCCTCCAGGGCGTTCCTCACCTCTATCTCATGCTCTTCAAGCTCCCCTGGCTTAGACTCAGCCAGATGGAGCGGGTCCAGTTTGAAGGGCTCCATGGCCTTGGGAAACTCCACCGGCAGCAGCCACTCACAGCCCATCATCTGCTCTACGGTGTAGCGGTCAGACGGCTGGGGTTGCAGGATGCCGCGGATTAGTTTCTGGCAAGGGTCCGGCACCCAAGTAGGCACTGTGTACGTCCCATCCAGGATGCAGCGCTTCAGCTTGGCCACCGTTTCGGCACGGAAGGGCATGGTGCCGGTCACCATAAAGAAGAGCATGACCCCCAGGGCCCAGATGTCTACGCAAACACCTATGTAGTGCTCGTCCCTGAAGAGCTCAGGAGCGGCGTAAGGGGGAGAACCACAGAAGGTGTTGAGGGTCTCGTCGCGGCGGCTGACGGTGCTGAAGCCAAAGTCTCCCACTTTAACACAGGTGCTACAGGTGTAAAAAACATTCTCTGCTTTCAGGTCTCTGTGAATGATGTTATTGTCGTGCTGCAAAATAAGAAAGATAAACTACTATTAACTACTAAATATACAGATATTTTGAATTACAATGTTGATCAACAGATTTAACTGTATATATATATATATATATATATAAAAATAAATAAATATAAATCTTATATGTGAGTGTGTGTTTTAAAAAATATATGTTTAATAATAATTTATCTTTTTAAAATGCCAAATTATTTAATAAAGTTTTCTGTGTAAGAATTGCATTTTAGAGGCTTCTTCATAATAATATCATGACAGTTGTATCAACAATTTTTCCTTTACTACAGTATACTTCCCAAAAAATATAATTATCATTATTGTCATTATTTCATTTATATATAAGGTACACCATTGTTTTACATCAAATGTAGCAGTCTTCTAAAAATGCAGATTTATTTTTACTTATGTTTTCTTTTACATTATTAGTCATGTTACAACACTCAAAATAGCAAACAAATAACTAATAAACAAACAAATAATAATTATTAATTATAATATTAATGTTATTCAAAATATTCAATACATCTTCATAAATTCTGCAATTTAATATTTTAAGATAATTTAATTAAATTCAATATATCCTAATAAAACTTTACATACTAAATATTTGACTTCAAATATAGTTTTCACAACTCTCAACATATTTATTAAATATTATTATTTATTGATGCAACATTTTAAAAAGTAAACAATTAATAATTACCCAACTATAATATTAAATATATTTAAAAAAAAAATTTATGCATTTAGTAGACGCTTTTATCCAAAGCGACTTACAGTGCATTCAGGCTATACATTTTTTACCAGTATGTGTGTTCCCTGGGAATTAAACCCACAACTTTTGCGCTGCTAACGCAATGCTCTACCACTGAGCAACAGGAACATATGCATATATATATATATATATAATACTTAAAATTTTACAATTAAAAGACGCATATATCAAATAAGATGAACATTTATTTATATATAATATCTTATATATTCTATAAGATGAATACATACAGATGTATTTAAATTCAGAAATGATCATAGATCATGTGAATGAACTGCATTTTCATTGTACTGTTGTATTTCTGAATCAATTCTGACAAGAAATGGGCATTGTGTCACTGACCTTCAAACTATGTATCTTATAGAAAAACTGAAAAAGTAAACTGGCATGAAATGGCTTAAACCTGCCCAATTTTAAAGGTCAGGAAAACAGAGGAATCATAATGAGAATATGTTTGCACCCTGTAAACATGCAGCCCACTATTATAACAGATTTCCCTTCTATTCATTTGCATCATGTACATCTCACCATATGCTTCACAGCTGAGAGAACCTGAGAGAAGACAATCTTGCTGTCGATGTCGGAGAGCTTCCCCTCTGTGCTGATCTTCGTGTAGAGCTCTCCTCCGCTTGCGTACTCCATGACCAGGTGCAGACGGGTCAGCGTCTCCACCACCTCATACAGACGGATGATATTTGGATGGTGCAGCTTCTCCATGCTTGATATCTCCCGGGACAGCAGCCTTTGCGTCTTCTGATCGAGCTTGGTTTTGTCCAAGATCTTGATGGCTACTTTGTCTGTGGATGACAACATAAAGTTTCAGTTGCAGGAGTTTCTCATTCAGAAAACATTCATATTCTTCTGTCTGTGGGACATATGCATTCCTACTAATTTCAATATATATAAGAATTGTTTAGTCAAACAGCAGTAATAGTCAACTGTCATAAAGGAAAGACATATGAGCAGATTTGGTATCAGATATGGTGCCATGCGATATGGAATATCATTCTACACGCTCTCTTCAAGATCTGCTGCAGCACTACAAATCCTTGAAATGCTCTGCGCATGAATTCACAAATGGCTTTGTAACAGCACACCACAACCTCCTATCCCTTACACACAGCAATCTTTGATGAGGCATACAGCAATTCTAAAGGTCTCGACAGAAATGTGACACCTCAAATCCATCCATCTGTGTCTGGACCAGACAAGTTGTCTCAGCTTGACTTTGACCGAGGGCATGCTTCCCACATTATCAATATAAACTGTTCTCTCAGGACATATTCATCAAGACAATAACACTCAGCAAAAAGCATACTAGGGCTGTCAAAAAAAATATGAATTTCGAATATTCGTCGAATTTAAAATAAAAATCCACATTTTTAGGTGTGTGTTAAGGAGGCAGCCTTATCAGTGGCGTACGAGATGCGATGACGATGTAAGTGTCATTGCATCATTTTAATGCTTTTGTTAGCCTGTCCAGTTGAAGCCACTAGATGCGGCGCTGCTGCGTTGTTAATTACAAATATTGCGGGAAAAGAGAACATCAATGCGGAGAACGTCTTGTTTACGGCAAAACTGAACCCAAGCCGTTCACACAGAATGCATATTTCGCGCATTTTCTAGAGGGACATCTATCACCGTTGCACTTGCGTCTCGCACAAAAGAGCTGCATGTTTAGAAAGCCATGTAAAATTAATGTAAGTTCAACTTTGAAAAAAACATATCTCAAGACTTTATGGCGGGTTTTTTTCCCCATCTGACTGCAACTCGTGTTTTTAATTGAAAAATGTACTCCGTGTGATTGGTTTTTGGCCCTTTGTATTAAACCATGCATACATACATATATGATGCTGTTTTGTTTATAGTTGTTTAAGCAACTTAATTCATTATTCATTGGTTTATAAACATTATTTTAAACATTATGCACTTTTTTTTCACGGATAGTCATGTTATCTTATGCTCGGTGCGCCCTCTTGTGGCTTCAGGAGAGAAGCCAAAAGCTTTTCTTCACCCTAACTGAAATTATGCATTTTAAATTTGAATATAATTGTATGTATTAATAATACATAATGGCTTTTATATTTTTTAAAACATGGGTTAAAACTTCATATAACAGCACTCTGGAATATATCATAGCAATAAATTCAGAAGGAAAATGTTATTTGAAACACATTTTATATTAATATTTTATATAAACTATAACTACCTGTTTTGGACCAAATGTCTTTTAAATCAGTGAGCTGTAATATATACAATTTTGTAAAATTTTCAATATGTTTAGTGAAAGTAAATTAATAATAATTATTAATTATAACATTAATTGTACATAAAAAGAACTACTTTAGAATTTAAGCATTTACTTTATCATTTTATATTCAAATAGACTTATATCTGATTCAACATAGCCTAATAAAACTGTTTACAACACTGTTCAAAAGTTTGGGGTCAATCTTTTGTTTTGTTTTTTATTTTATTTAAAAAAAATAATGAAAAGTGACTATTTAAAAATTTAGCTTTGCCTTCACAGGAATAAATTACATTTTAAAATATATTAAAATAGAGAGCTGTTTTAAAATGGCAAGAATATTTCACAATATTACTTTATTTTTGATATTCTTATTCAAGATCAATGCAACTACAAAACAAGCCTCTAAATGTGCATTTCCAGACACTTTACAGGGTGTCAGTGAGCTATAGGAATATCCCCGGATCACAAAATTCTACAGTGTCAGTGAGCTGCTCTAAAATAAATCTATCAATACTGCAGCCTCCTTGTGAGGAAAACCTCTCAAGAAAGTCAAAGAATATGTACCAATTACTCAGAATTCAGTTCAGAGTCTTTTAACGGACATGTACCTTTCGTCAGAGCGTGGATGCCCAGCTTGACATGGGAAAAGTTTCCACAGCCGATCTCGCCACGTATCTTGTAGAAGCCGATGCGGCGGCCCACGGTGAGCTCTCTCACCATCTTCTCATCTTGGCACATGTCCAGATTGAGTTTCTCCAGTGGGGTAAGGCGGCGCGGCTGGGTCCCCTCGTCGTCCGTACAGATGTCGGAGCTGTCTTGTCGGCTCCATCGGGCATAACGCTGGGGACCCGTGGCCACTTCTGAGACCCCGACGGAGCCCCCCCCAGCCGGGTACACAGCAGTCATCCTGCCACAGGCCACTGGGGGGCTTAGCTCATGGCAGGAGACCTGGAACTAAGGCACCACCTGAAGATATGAAATGATACACAACTAGAGAACCTGCTTTTTTTTTTTAAAATACACTTTTTTAAACCCCTCTGCCTATAAAAAAATCCATTATTTATCAAGGAGCAAATAAATAAATAACATTATGAATAATAATTATTATTTTAATATTTTAATTTCTTAAAATTGTAGTAATTATTTTATATAACATTTTCTATATTGTTTTTACAATAATTTATTCAGTAAAATTTTATTTTTGATATTTGTAATATATATATATATATATATATATATATATATATATATATATATATATATATACACACACACACACACACATTTATTCATAATTAAGTGTATACAAATTTAAATAAAATAATTATATGCAATAATTAACTAAAACTCTAAATATTATTTTTGATATTTGTAATACACACACACACACACACACACAAACACATTTATTCATAATTAATTAAATAAATAATAAATAAATAAATAACTCTACACACAAACAATTTATATTTATAAATATTGTTAGTAATAAATAGTTATTTTATCAACACACTTTAATAAAATAAACGCACAACATGGGGACCGTTTTTCATTAAAAAAGCAAATAATGGATAATCCTTTCTCACCTTCACATGTTGTCCTGTACGTCTGTGTCAATTTCCAAAATTAGCTCATTATCGCCACATCTCAACCCAAGCTTATACACATATCAAAGTATAAAGGAGTAGATGTTTAGGGTCGTCTGCTTCACAGTGCTCTTCTTCCCCTCAGTCCTGCATCTCACTGAACATCATCAGATATGCCCAAATTAATTGGTGCGTTGTCTCAGTGATAAAAATAGACCGCGGATCAGCTTTGAGAACGATGAGTGCTGTGATTGTTGCCTGGCTGCTATAACAAGGCTCCACGTTACTCTGAGTGGCCCTGGCTTCTTGTACGGTGCTTCCTCTCATTTAACATCTTTGCCTGGTGGCTCATTCAGAAATAGGGTCCCACATGGAAAACAGCCACTCCCTCTCATTTGTTCACCTCGGTGTGTATCTTTGGTGCTTCTGACTCACTCTACAGTCGTCTTTCTGGGATTAGCGTGTACAGAGATCCTAATCCGTGCCTTTTTTAGTGGCCCTTACGTCTCCAATTTAAACAGTAGGGACTAAACTGAAGGATTCCCGTTTTCCTGGTGAGAGAGAGAGAGACAAAGAATATATCAAGACTATTACACTGCCTTTATCCTGTCCTTAACTCACCTTTCCTTAAGGTAAACCCTTAGCTTATTTTTTTTATTTAGCTTGTGTAAACCAGCATGTTTGTGGAAAGTTGATGCATTTGCAGCATTTGTTAAATAATTTGAACTATTTACAATGAAATTATAATCATTTTAAGACTCCAATGACAAGATATATATATATTTTTTTATGTATTTATAATTAAGTTTGAATATATCTTCCTACAAATGTGACTCAATGTGTGCATTTGTGTGTGTTTCAGGATGCAATTAAGATGAGTTTGCTGATGTAGTTCCTGTAACAATGTCCCTAAAGAGCAGAATATAAGAACACAGACAGCGGTCGCTCTTTAGAGCCACTGAGTGCTAACAGCACACATAAAACAAGCACTACACACCCATTACGCCACAGTGGGCCACAAATAAAACGATATATGAAGCAATGACAGAATATCAATTCACATATTCAAATGATCAATTCAAATGATTTCTAAAGGATCATGTGACGCTGAAGACTGCTGGAAATTCAGCTTTGCATCACAGGAATAAATTACATTTTAAAATATATTAAAATAGAGAAGTGTTGTTTTAAATGGTAATAATATTTCACAATATTGCTGTTTTTTCTGTATTTTTGATCAAATAAATGTCTTGGTAAGAGACTTCTAACAGACCCTAAGCTTCTAAACAGTACTATAAGTATTACATCATTCAGAATGTAGATATGCGATTGGATTTATGGTTTTCGCCTGATAAATGATGGAACAACCATTTCTACCCATTTTTGGAAAGTGTAAAAACGTAGTTCATAACATTCTACTTTTAGACTGTATGTTTTTTGCACGGGTTTCTTGATCAAAGAACACCAGGTGTGTTGAACTGAGGCAGTTTCTCCACACAGGACTGCTGCACAGACACCTTAGGTGTGACCATGTGTTTTTGCAGGTGGAGGTGAGCGGTGATGCTGATATAAGATGCTGAGCTTGGTTTTAAACAGGGTTCTTTGACGCAATATTCTTTTGTTTTAACTTTCGAGCATCAGCATTATAGAATTGGAGCTAAACCAACCAGATCTGTTGAAAGTGCTTTGGAACTGACCAAGTGTTAAAAACGCAAGACAAAGACAAAAGCTTTGCATCTTTACATGCGTGTATGTGTATTGTACATTTCTCTAAGTACTTGCTTGTGTAACTTTGATAAATAATCAGCAATTTGACAATCGAATGAGAACCCAAACACTCTTACACGCAATCAGCAGATCTTTCTGAGAAGCAGATTTAATCCCCCTTCATTCACTCACGCAAAACAAGAGCTTACTTCTACTGGCGTCAGCACTGAGCATTCAGAGGCCACAGGTTTATACGCACCACTACCCTGATTATAGAATACACTACCGTTCAAAAGTTTTTAGTCAGTAAGTTTTTAAAAGAAGTCTTTATGCTCACCAAGTCTGCATTACAAATCATGTATGATATTGTGAAATATTATTTGAATTTAAAATAGCTGTTTTCTATTTTAAAGGGGTCATATGATGCAATTTCAAGTTTTCCTTTCTCTTTGGAGTGTTACAAGCTGATTGTGCATAGATAAGATCCCTGAAGTTGCAAAGACTAAAGTCTCAAAACCAAAGAGATATTCTTTATCAAAGTTAAGACTCTGCCACACCCCCCTAAAACGGCTCGTTCTAACACGCCCCCACATATCTACCTCACTATGTGGAAATATTAGCATAATGCCACCCAAATGTGCACGCAAAGAAAGAAGGCGTGGTTTCAGTAACCGCAGTTAGTGTTGAAGCAGCCATGTCAGGGAGACGCTGTGTGTTTCTAGGCGAAAGCAAAAGCACTTTATTTGGCCTTCCGAAAGTAGATGCATTTAGGAATCTTTACGATTACTTACAACAGAACAGCAATGCATTTTATGGACGACT